ACTGTGCAGCAAATTCCGCCAGCTTGCCAGAGAAGCAGCTCGAGGGGAGAAAAGCTTCCGGGTGTTCTTGAAGCAGCAAGTGTGTTTTCTGCTGAGCAACCAAAACCAAGATCCCAGCTGAGACCCACAGTTGCCCAGATCCACCCGCCCTGAACGGAACTTGGGCAGTAATGTCCAGCCCTGGGCAGTTGCTGAAATCTTTGCCTTTTTTTTTTCTTTTTTTTTTTTTGAGTTAGGATCTTGTTCTGTCGCCCAGACTAGAGTGGAGTGGAGTGGCGTAGTCACAGCTCCGTGTAGCCTTGGACTCCCAGGCTCCAGCAATCCTCCTGCCTCGGCCTCCCAAGTAGCTGGGACTATAGGCACACGCCACCACACCTGGCTAACATTTTCTATTTTTTGCAGAGATGGGGTCTTACTTTGTTGCCCAGGCTGGTCTAGAAATCCTGAGCTTGGCCAGGTGCGGTGACTCAGGCCTGTAATCCCCAGCACTTTGGGAGGCCGAGGTGGGTGGATCACAAGGTCAGGAGTTTGAGACCAGCCTGGCTAACATGGTGAAACCCCGTCTATACTAAAAACACAAAAATTAGCCAGGCATGGTGGTGGGCACCTGTAGTACCAGCTGTTTGAGGGGCTGAGGCAGGAGAATCGCTTGAACCCAGGAGGTTGCCCTGAGCTGAGATCATGCCACTGTATTCAGCCTGGGTGACAGTGAGACTCCATCTCAAAAAAAAAAAAAAAAAAAGAAAAGAAATCCTGGGCTTAAGGGATCCTTCTGCCTTGGCCACCCTAACTGCTGGGGTTGCTGGCATGAGCCACCGCACCCTGCTTTTTTTTTTTTTTTTGTGAGACAGGTCCTTGCACTGTTGCTCAGGCTGCAGTGTAGTAGCGGGATTATAGTTCACTGCAGCCTCAACCTCCCAAGCTTAAGCGATCCTCCCACCTCAGCCTCCCTGAGTGAATGAGGCCACGGGTGTGAACCACCACACGTAGTTAATGTTTTAAATTTTTCATAGAGACGGGGTTTCTCCATGTCACCCAGACTGGTCTTGAACTCCTGGCTTTCAGAGATCCTCCTGCCTCAGCTCCCACAGTGTTGGGATTACAGGCATGAAATACTGCACCCAACCTTTCTTCACTTTCTTAACGAAAGCTTTGGATGAACAAAAATTCATGTTTTTGGTGAAGTTCAGTTTATCGATTTCCATTTATACATTTCATAAAGTTTATAAATTTTAACTTTTTTTTTTTTTTTTTTTTTTTAATTTAAGAGGGGGTTTCACCATGATGGCCAGGCTGGTCTTGAACTCCTGACCTCAGGTAATCCACCCACCTTGGCCTCCCAAAGTGCTAGGATTACAGGCGTGAGCCACCGCGCCGGGCCCTTAACCAAATGGAAATCGATAATTTTTTTTGAGACGGAGTTTCTCTCATGTTACCCAGGCTGGAGTGCAATGGCGTGATCTCGGCTCACCGCAACCTCCATCTCCTGGGTTCAGGCCATTCTCCTACCTCAGCCTCCTGAGTAGCTGGGATTACAGGCACGCGCCACCATGCCCAGCTAATTTTTTGTATTTTTAGTAGAGACGGGGTTTCACCATGTTGACCAGGATGGTCTTGATCTCTTGACCTTGTGATCCACCCGCCTTGGCCTCCCAAAGTGCTGGGATTACAGGCTTGAGCCACCACGCCCGGCCTTTAACCTTTTTTTTTTTTTGAGATGGAGTCTTGCTCTGTCGCCCAGGCTGAAGTGCAGTGGCGCCATCTCAGCTCACTGCAACCTCCACCTCCTGGGTTCAACCGATTCTCCTGCCTCAGCCTCCCGAGTAGCTAGGATTACAGGCACCACCACACCTGGCTAACTTTTGTATTTTTAGTAGAGACAGGGTTTCACCATGTTGGTCAGGCTGGTCTCCAACTCCTGATCTCGTGATCTGCCTGCCTCAGCCTCCCAAAGTGCTGGAATTACAGGTATGAGCCACTGCGCCTGGCATAAATTTTAACTTACACAAAGCTCAATTTTATCTTTCATTCTGTAGCTTTTTTGTGTGTTGTCTTTAAGGAATCTTTCCTCTGAGTTATGAAGGTATTCACCTATGTCTTCTAGAAGCTTGGTTGATAAATAGCTTTCACGTTAGTGATATCATCAATTTTGAGTCAGTTGCATGTTAGGATGAGGGTAGGGATGGCAGTTCATACATCCGGTTATCCCAGCATCCTTTGTTGCTAGACCATCATCCGTGCTCCCTCACTGAACCGCAGGGGAGTGTGTTTCGTAGGTAAAGTGTGGATCTGCTTCTGACCCTCTCTATTCTACTGATTTATTGGACAGACTTAGTGCCAGTACCTCACTCTCTTGATTTGATTTAGCTTTATGGAAAGTTCTAACATCTAGACTGGGCATGGTGGCTCACATCTGTAATCCCAGCACTTTGGCAGGCCGAGGCAGGCAGATCACGAGGTCAGGAGATCAAGACCATCCTGGCCAACGTGGTGAAACCCCATCTTTACTAAATACAAAAACTAAGCTGGGTGTGGTGGTGCATGCCTGCAGTCCCAGCTACTTGAGAGACTGAGACAGGGGACTCGAGCCTGAGAGGCAGAGATGGCAGTGAGCTACGATTGCGCCACTGCACTGCAGCCTGGGCGACAGAGCGACACTCTGTCCCAAAAAAGAAAAACAAGTTCCCAGGCGTGTTGGTGGTGGGCGCCTGTAGTCCCAGCTACGTTCGAGGCTGAGGCAGGAGAACCTCTTGAACGTGGGAGGCGGAGGTTGCAGTGAGCCGAGATTGTCCTGTTACACTCCAGCCTGGGGACAGAGAATCAATTTAAAAAAAAAAAAAGAAAATTTTGCTATCTAGTAGTTAACTTTTCCAGCTTTATTGCCTGTTTTTATAGGTTACTTGCATTTCTATGTACATTTTATTTTTTAGACATGGGGTCTCACTGTGTTGCCCAGGCTGTAGTGCAATGGTTGTACACAGGTGTGATCATAACTCACTGCAGCCCCAAACTCCTGGGCTCAGGCATTCCTCCTGCCTCAGCCTCTAGAGTAGGTGGAACTATAGGCGCATGCCACCACACTAGCTAATTTTTAAATTTTTAGTAGAGTCTAGGCCTTGCTGTGTTGCCCAGACTGGTCTCCAATTCCTGGGCTCAAGTGATCCGCCCACCTTATCCTAAAAGTGCTGGGATTTAAGGCATGAGATGCTAATATGTTTAAGTGTTCTGAATCTTTTTTTTTTAAATCTACTTTCTTTTTCTTTTTTTTTTTTTTTTTTTTTAAGACAGAGTCTCGATCTGTTAACCAGGCTGGAGTGCAATGGTACCATCTTGGCTCACTGCAACCTCCGCCTCCCGGGTTCATGTGATTCTCTTGCCTCAGCCTCCCAAGTAGCTGGGATTACAGGCCCCTGCCACACCTGGCTAATTTTTTGTATTTTTAGTAGAGACAGGGTTTCACCATGTTAGTCAGGCTGGTCTCAAACTCCTGACTTTGTGGTCTGCCCACCTCAGCCTCCCAAAATGCTGGGATGACAGGCGTGAGCCCCCGAGCCTGGGCTGAATCTATTTTTATTTTTTATTTTTTTAATTAAAAAAAATTTTTTTTTAATTGAGACAGGGTTTAACCATGTCGGTCAGACTGGTCTCGAACTCCTGACCTCAGGTAATCCACCCACCTCGGCCTCCCAAAGTGGGCCTGAATCTATTTTTATGAGCGATGTTGGCCTCCAGTTCTCTTTCTTGTAGTGCCCTTTGTTGTCAAGATTATGCTGACCTCATAAAATGTGTTGGGAGAAGCACTTGGAGAGGCTGAGGTGGGCAGATCACGAGGTCAGGAGTTCAAGACCAGCCTGGCCAACATGGTGAAACCCCGTCTCTACTAAAAATACAAAAATTAGCTGGGCATGGTGGCACTTGCCTGTAATCCCAGCTACTCAGGAGGCTGAGGCAGGAGAATTGCCTGAACCCAGGAGGCGGAGGTTGCGGTGAGCCGAGATCGCGCCATTGCACTCCAGCCTGGGTAACAAGAGCGAAACTCCGTCTCAAAAAAAAAAAAAAAGCCGGGCATGGTAGCGCATACCTGTAATACCAGCTACTCGGGAGGCTGAGGCATGAGAATTGCTTGAACCGGGATCTGGGAGGTGGAGGTTGTAGTGAGCTGAGATCGCACCACTGCACTCCAACCTGGGCTGCAGAGAGACTGTCTCAAAAAAACAAAAAAAACGTGTTGAGAGAGTGTTTCCTCTGTTTTACTCCCTGAAAGAGTTTGCATTGGAGTGGAATCATTTCTTCATTAGTTGTTTGGAAGAATTCTTTAATTGATGTCTTCTGGACCTGGAATTTTAGTTTTCAAAATGTTTGAAACTGTGGATTAAACATTTTAGTTACAGGACTACTGACGTTTTAAATTTCTTCTTGTGTCAGTTTAGAAGGTTGTATTTCTCAGGAATGAGTTTATTCTAAATTTTCAAATGTGTTGGTGTGGAATTTTTCACAATTATCCTCTATCATTTTTTTTTCCCCCAAGACGAGGTCTTGCTCTGTCACCCAGGCTGGAGTGCAGTGGCGCGATCTCGGCTCACTGCAAACTCTGCCTCCCAGTTCAAACGATTCTCCTGCCTCGGCCTCCCGAGTAGCTGGGACTACAGGCACGCGGCTAATTTTTCTATTTTTAGTAGAGTCGAGGTCTCGCCTTGTTGGCCAGGCTGGTGTGGAACTCTTGACCTCAGGTGATCCACCCACTGCAGCCTCCAGGAGTGCTGGGATTATAGGCGTGAGCCACCATGCCCAGCCCAGGGAGGTGACATCTTGAGGAGACACCTGCAGGGTGAATAAGTTGAGTCTCTGTTACCTGGGAAGCGCCTCCCCCTTTACCACCTTATTCTCCGGGGTTAGCGCAGTGCAAACATGGAAGCCTCTTTGAGTCCCTGTCTAGCCCTGGCCCTGGGAGCGGCGGGCTCTGGGCTGGGGGCTTAGACCTGCCTCCCTGGTTCCTGCAGAGCCGCCCTCCATGCGCCTGAAGGCCCGACCCGGCAGCCCTGGCTTTTCCGTGCTCACCTGCAGTGCCTTCTCCTTCTACCCACCGGAGCTGCAACTTCGGTTCCAGCGGAATGGGCTGGCCGCTGGCACCGGCGAGGGCGACTTCGGCCCCAACGGTGACGGCTCCTTCCACGCCTGGTCGTCACTGACAGTCAAAAGTGGCGATGAGCACCACTACTGCTGCATCGTGCAGCACGCGGGCCTCGCGCAGCCCCTCAGGGTGGAGCTGGGTGAGGCTCCGCCCCGCGGCCATGCTCCCGGTATCTTTCGGGTGGCCTTGCCTCGCTGCTGCACCGGTCCTTCTTGAGTCTGACCTTCCTCCCTGCTGCTGCTGCTGCCTCCTTGAATCTGACCGGCTTGTGCCTCGCGCCTGCCAGTGCGACAAAGCCTGATGGCTTGTCCTTCCCAAGGCCGATTTCCTTCTATCCTGCCGCTTCCGGCCTCACTGAGTCTGAGGAGCTGTTAACCACCATGGCCAGTTCCCCCTGAGTCTGACCATCTTCCGTCCTGCTGCTGCTGCTGCGGGTCTTCGTGGAATCTGACCATTCGTTGTCTGCTATGCCCGTCCTCACAAGACTGACCGCCTGCTGCCTTGCTACTGCCGGTGCCCATGAGGCTGACCTCCCGCTGCTCTACCTGCCCCTTGCGTCTGCACTGGTACAGCCCCGCCCTGCCGCTGCCGGTCCACCGCCGGTGTTCCCGCGGCCGCTCGCGCCGTGGCTGGTTCTTGCGTCCAGCCTGGGGGCACTCTGCCCAGATCACCCGCCTGGCCTTTCCCTTGCGCATCAGACACTTGGCGCTGGGATCTCCGAGGCGGGGAGGGACTGGGAGCCCGCAGTTCCGTGTCCTGACTGGGTGGGGTGGAGGGGCTGCCCTTCACGTCACCGTGTTCTCTGGCTGCAGAATCTCCAGCCAAGTCCTCCGTGCTTGTTGTGGGGATCGTCGTCGGCGTCGTGCTGCTGACGGCAGCGGCTGTGGGAGGAGCTCTGCTGTGGCGAAGGATGAGGAGTGGGCTGCCAGGTATGGGCGGCCTCGGCGGGGGGACAGGGACCCCGAGAGGGACGCGCAGACCTGGGAGGACAGAGACTCGATGTGGGGGATAAACCCAGAGAGAGGGGGACAGAGACCCAAAGAGGGTGCAGAGGCCCAAAGGGGGGGGACGGAGGCCCAAAGAGGGGGACAGGCCCAAAGGGGGGGACAGAGGCCCAAAGGGGGGGG